TTTTAACCAGCAGTACATAATCAATTTTGTAAATACCTACAAATCAAAATCGGATGTTCCTAAATCATAAATATGTCCATACTGTTTCATTCTGCAATGATTTTTGACACAGAATGACACAATACCATAGCTCATAAACAGAAAAACTAGAAATGAAATCACACAAATCACTACTAGTACTGTAAAGTCCTGCGTCAATTTCTCTGGTGCTATTTTAAGCAGCTGTTGAACTGCTTGCAATGAGCCATTGTTCGGTGAAGGTATAATCCCAAGTATGTGACACATAAGAGGGTAAATATTCACATTTTCAAATGGCTCAGAGATGACGTTTTTCTTGAATGCTGGACCCTGAGCAAGGAAAAAAGGGTGCATATCTGGATACTTGTTACTGTAACCATGGTCTCCAAGTTTTTTCAACTGCGACAAGTTTTTAGCAATAATCCACTGGTCATCTGCTACGATCAAAATTGGCATGATACGCCTGTTGTGTTTGTAGTGGAATTCTTCAGGAATTTTCTCTTTCAGGTAAACATTAAGATGTGGAATTCCTTTGAGGCGTTGGTAAGTCTCAATTAACTTGCCATCTTTGGGCAAAATGTGGAAGTATGTGTTAGATGTCCTGTATGTTGCTCCAGGCACTGTAATAAGTGTGTACCAGTCAGATGGAACAAACTTATCCAAGAGAATAATGCGGGATTTGTTTAATTCTGCCATTCCATGATCACTAGTGATAATCAAGTTCACCTACAGGTAAAAGAGAATTGTTTCAGGTTAGTCTGCTATGCTCAACCATAAAATAAAGAACTACCCATACTCACCCCGCAGAGGGAGGGGGAGGGTTTCTTTCAAAAGCCATGGTTTTGAAGCAAAACTAGAATTTTCAGAGGTCTGGTGGGTGGGTCACAAACACAAAATTTCTATTTCACTTCTGGTTTTTGCTACTTCAAAGGTTGAAGCACAAATGTGCAAGACATTTGAAGAAATGATTTGAGAAAGAGCAGTGACAAACCAAATTAAGAGCTGCTAAACTAGGTGTATTTATAAATGTCATATTTAAATTCCCAATGCCAAAAGTAACCTTCAGTTTCAAAGTGGCAGATTTCAGAGATTTGAGACAATTATAAGCAGCAATTTGGGTGGGAACTGTAAACAAACATTTGACCTCTGTGGAGGAGACAACGCGAAGCAGGGGCTTCACTGCTTGGCTTTCAACCCAAAAACCTTTCATAGAGGAGGTATGAATATTTCAGGAACAACACATTTAACCTTTCAGGATACTTCAGCTTGCCACATTTATAAAAAATACATAGGGACACACACATTTTTGTACACAAAATTCAAAAGGTTTTCTGTACTTTTTTTGAACCACTTTCTCTACCTAGATTCAAGACTAATATATAGATTTAGCCAAGCCTAAAAGCAGAGCTCTGGCCGGGTTGTTCAAAGCCTGATTAAGCTAACCCAGGATAAGCAAGAAAGCTGGAAATTTTAAAACTGTTTTTTCAGATTTGCATACATCAGACTTTGTATAAAAACCTGCATTACACAGTAAGTGGTACAGCACAACAGGCTTAGCATTTCATAGTTGCAAAGAACCGTTCTTTAATTTTCAAGGTTGGTCAATATATCATTANTTTAAAGCTTGCTTGCCAGGAAAGTAACACGGCGGCCAAAAGGTCATATCAGGTCATATCAGTAGAGTCACTTTTATACCGCGAATACATGACTTGCCTCTTCGTGTAAAGCTCTATTTCTTCGGCACTCGCTGGACGGCCTTAGGCTTAACTTTTTTGTGTGTTGAAACAGTTGGAATAGCATCCTCTTTTAAGCAACGTCTGCTTAAATTGTCTGGCAAAATATCTAGTCGGTACTCACTTGCAAAACACGTGGGCTCAAAGTGTTTGGAACAGATGTGGCAGTGCTTCATTTGGGGCAAATTTTCTCTCTTTATCTGAGCAAGCCATTTGCTTGAAAGGCCTTTATCTTTTAAAGGAAGGCGATGAAAGCTTATTCCTGTTTTAGAATCTCTAGGTGATCTATTGTAATAGCCTACGGCAATGCAGTGAACCATTTAAATTTGACGCGAATGCAAGTGAGCGCAATGACGTCATGCCATGCAGCCCAGCCTTCAACATGGCGGTTAAAATGGCAGACCTACATTGTGTAAATGTCATGAGCAATTTTCCAGTCAAAACGTGTTAAGAAAGGACAAATACGGCCAAATACTACAATTTCTACTCAAAACAAACTATTTGCTCTGTTGCAAATATGCAACGATAACTTTGTTTTTCACCTTCCGTTCTCCTTTAAATGCATCCAAAAGAATTTTAAATCAGCAGCCATTTGTGTCAAGGGTCTATTTTATCTGAGTGCAAATGTTGATGCTCCTTAACCAAAAAGGTTGGAGAATGCTACTGACTTTACAAATCTTCTCTCCAAAGAGAATATCTTGGTACATTGTAAGATTGAGATTATCACAAGCGTATTTCATAAATCTCTATTCAGGGTACTTCTTCTCTTTTATGCTGAAGATCGCGAGAAACCTTATAACCATAGTTATAAGCATGCAAATTTTATCGCTATGAATTTAACACAACTCATCATTTGCAGATACCGTGATCTGATGAAATTAAAATAATTAACTTACCACGACACCATGTAAACAGAAAGGTGACTTTATAGCATATAGGTGTGCAACGTTCACATTTGTACTTACCTGGTCTATCAGTCCTCTCTTCCGTAAATTTTCCAGCAGATATCCAGTTACGTTGTCCACTCTGCGGATTTTATCTTTAACCTCCGGTGAATTTGGGCCAAATCTATGACCACTGTGATCCGGCTCTTGGAAATAGGCAGCCAAAAAACTTGGCGGGTCATCTTGCTCCAGTTGAGTGATCAAGTAGTCGACCCTTTTCTCATAAGGAAATGAGTAATTGTATTTCAAATAGTGAGTTGGATACTGCCCTTCTATTTCCACCTCCGATCCGGGCCAGAAAATGACCGCACTTGTCTTCCAAGCCTTTTGATTCGTTATCCAAACGGGCTCGCCATTCCACCATTTTGAATCCAAGAAGTCTTTCGAACCGATGTAAAACGTTTCGTTGAAGACCGGATCATACATCATGTTGCCTACGATTCCATGGCTTTCCTCATAAAGTCCAGTCACAATCGTAAAATGATTTGGAAATGTCTTTGTAACAAAGGTATTGATAATATGTTTTGCTTTCACTCCATTTCGCACGATGGAATCGAAATTCGGAGTGTCAACTTTGTCCATGTAGTCCCAACGGAAACCGTCAAAAGAGATCAATATTACGGTCGGCTGCTTTAGCTTGATGTTCTTGTTCCCTGACGAGAACGCGTCGCGATTGGGTAAAAATAAAAATATAATAAAGACGTGAAAACGTCGAAAATTCATGATACCACAATGAAATGCAAGGCGGAAAATTTCCAGACAAACATTTCATAAATTTGATAATATTTCCAGTGGCCTTTGACAGCTGTACAAGTCAGCTCGCTAAGGAGTCTGGTACTTCACGGTGAAATACCGCTGACGGTAAGGTACGACGGCGGCTGGAAAAGCTCAGTGATAACAATAGGGGTGACCAAACTCGGGTGACTAGGGGTGACGAAGGGTGACGGGCCAACAATGATAACAATTATTGGGGTGACAGGCCAACAGCGATAACAATGGGGGTGACTGGGGGTGACAGGCCAGCAATGATAACAACTAACGGGGGTGACAGGCCAATAGTGATAACAATGGGAGTTACGGACCAACCGTGATAACAATGGGAGTGACAGGCCCACAGTGATACAATGGGGGTTACATTAATAACAATGGTATTGTAATGACAATAGGGTGAAAAACCTACACAACTCCTACTCACGTGTGATAGCCGCTCGCTTTTAAAGTTTTGTGCGAAGGAGTACAAAATCAACCATTACTTAGCGAAATGTTCAAAGATCCCCCTATCGCATCATAGAAAAGAAGCAGATCATTAAAAGATGTACTCGTTCGAGGAAAACTTTGAAAAACCGGCTATTACACGTGGATAGGAGTTGTGTTGGCCTTTCACCAACATTGTTTTTGGGCCTCTTCATATGAGCCCGGTAACCGAGCTGGTTCGGTTACTGGAACGAATTTTGTTGTCTGTTTATATGGAAAATTTCAGCCCGGTCGACCGGGATGAAATTCCAGAAACAAATCCAACATGGTGCTGCATAAAGTTGCATCATTCGCGACTATCACAGCCTTGTTGACTTTTGTGACTTTACCAATAAAGCTAATTGCGGAACAAAATTTGGCCGTATTAACGGGGTGGCCGTATTAAGGGGAAGGCTCAAATTTCATGACTGGTCACAACAATTGACCACAATTACCATTGCACTTCTAAACAACTGCTGTTTAATAAGCGTTCGAAATGCAGTTACATACATATATTTTTTTTTTTAAAAAAAAGAAGTTGAAACTTCAATCATTACATACAATATTAACAATGGAAAGATGATCGATGAGGATAACTGGTCCGAGTGGCCGTATTAATAATGGTAATGGTACTGAGTGGAGACCAATTCGGTCTGTAATCATACGAGTGATTAACAAAATCGGACGACCGCGAAGCGGGAGTCCGATTTGTTAATCACGAGTATGATTACAGACTGAATTG